AGCACAGGAGCAAAGTTTTGGTGGCGGATCAAAATTCGCCTTTATACTTACATGAGAGCACCGGTAGCCCAATCTTGTTCCATAACGAGTCTTCGTGCGTGCAGCAGCTGTTCGCGCTCTCTCTCTGCAAGATCAAAGTATAGAAGACGATGCGCTCTAAGTTTCTCTCACCTTGGCGGTGCCGATTCATGTGTCCTCCCAGAGCTTGAGACTTTGCAAACTTCATCGGACAGAAGCGGCACTCGTAAGGCCTGGAAGACGATGGCTCGTTGCTGCACGAAGAAGCGGCCATGGAGGAAAGGCTGCGAGGCCGGAGTCGAGGCCGAGGACGAGGCTTTGGAGGTGGCGGCGGTGGTGGCATCTGACAGCAGCTGGTAAAAGAATAATTCGCAAACGCAGTGCAACGCTAAGGATTGGAATCGTGACGAGCAAGAGGAAGAACGAAAGAGTGATTTTTTGGAGGTGAGTTTATACTGACCAGCTCGATGATCTTGTTGTGCTATCGCAGTTGCATTGGGACGACGAGGATGGAGTAGTCGGGGACAAGTTAAGATCAAGAGACGATGCTTCATCCATCGCTGCGAGAAGACGAAGTAGTACTAGAGTTCTTGCGAAAATAGGATCTAGTCAAGTATAATTGGGGTGATCAAAGAGTGACGAAAGATTCTTTGGTTCTTTGTTTAATCTTTGCATCGGACTTTGCCAACACCAATGAAGAGAAAGTTCTAACTTCCAAAACTAGCCTTTAAGCCCTAATTTTATCTCTTTAAAGCGACCTTTAGAAGATCCAAAAGTAACAAACCCTAAAATCTTTGTTCTTTACCGTTGGATCGGGATCGGTTATCTAGGGCTTGAGCTATTTTTTTCCCTCTCTTTCTCTCGTCGTGCGGGCGGATGAGATGCTGGCTGCCGCCGTGAATTCCACCTCCACCGCCACCTCCGGCTCGATTCCTCCTCCTCCTCCTCCCGCCGCTCCCGCCGTTCCCTCTAGGGCGAGGAAGCGTCCTCCCACTTCTAGGTCTCACTCCATGGTCGCAGCAGCTCCGGAAGAACAGGGCATCGACAATGGCGGCGCTGCCGCCGTTGCTGGCGCTGCGAATCCCGCGAGCAACACGGCCAATGGCGGCTGCGAGACGTGCTGCAGCGTCGGGAATGGGGAGGGCGAGGCGGTGTCGTCGCCGCTGCGCAAGACATCGCTTCGGGCGCCCAAGACAGGTAACAAGGTAGCTAGATCTTCACACAAGCAGGATAGTTCTTCGCGGCCGGGGGCGGAGACTCACCACCATCTCGCGGGGCCGCTCTTCTCCAAGCCGGTCTTCATCGCTGTGATGCTGGCAGTGATGGCCACTACTGCCTGGAAGTGGAGCCGGGATCCAGGGGTAGCACCGGGGATCTCGATCGCCCAGATGAAAGAGCTGGAGGATTTCTCGAGGAAGACGACCAAGTGGATGCAAGTCCAGCTCGAGCTTGTGGATATGAAGATCGGGAAGGAGATCGAGGGGCTGAGGAGAGATGTGGAGGACAAGATCGAGGAGCAGGCGTTGGCTCTAGAGACGAGCATCATGAACTTGAAATCACAGGTGGAGGATATGGATTCTTCCGTGCAAAGGCTCACGCAGGACGGGCTTCTCACGAAGAAGGAAGGGATGGAACTCATCGCGTCGATTATCCAGCAGCGAGCAGCGGAAGAGTCTGGAAAATCTCTCACTCTGGACGACGTGAGAATCGCTGCGAGACAGATCGTGGAAGCGGAGCTGGAGAAGCACTCGGCGGATGGAATCGGTCGGGTGGACTATGCTCTTGGCAGTGGAGGAGGGAAGATCATCGAGCACTCGGAGGGATTTTTCACGGGTGGCCGGGCGGGGTGGCTGAGCATTCTTGGAGCTGGGCTCTCGGCCGGAGGCGCGGTGAGGCATCCCATGGCTCACAAAGTCTTGGAGCCGAGCTATGGCGAGCCGGGTCAGTGCCTTCCACTCAAAGGAAGCAATGTTTTCGTGGAGATTGCGCTGAGAACTCACATACATCCCGACGCCATTACGATCGAGCACGTCCCAAAGGTATGATCTCCTCCCTCTCCCTTTTTTTCCGAGTGTTTGAGCGAGAGACCTTGATCCGGGAGTGAGAGAAACTTAGCTTAGCGCTAATCTGGCGAGACTAGAGTTTGGTTCTTCCTCTTTCTTTCTTCGACTGTTTGAGCGAGACAGAGATAGAAAACTTCGATCGAGAGAAACTTAGTCCAGCGTTTTCTTCAAGCTCTCGAGACTAAAGTTTGGTTCATCCTCTTTCTTCCAGAGCGTGGCTTACGACGTGACGAGCGCTCCCAAAGATTTCCGCGTCTTTGGCTGGCTGGAGCGAAGCATCCAAGCCGGGACGATCGCGCGGCCAGTGAAGAAGCTCTTGCTGGGAGAATTCAGCTATAGTTTGGATGGATCAAACATCCAGACTTTTAGCTTCCCGGAAGAAGTGTCGAGGGAGCTGATCAACACCGTGCGAATCCACATTACATCCAACCACGGTAGCGCCTCTCACACTTGCCTTTACAGAGTTCGCGTCCACGGCTTTGAGCCATCGCCACAGCATTTTTAGAGCTCTTGTTCTTCCTGTAAATTCTTTTATATACATTGTGTTTGAACAAATGTGTGTGGAGGAGCCCTAAACCTAAGCTATGAGCTATGGCAGATGAAGCGAGCTGGGATTCGCGGCGTGGCAGCCGCGGCCGAGCTTCTTCCAATCGATCGGCAAGCTCGTCACAGCGCGCGGCAGCGCCGGATGGTAGGGATTTCATCGGCAGTATAAGGCGGAGGCAGCAGCAAGCGAGGGGTTTGTCGCGGAAATGGGGGTCGATCAATCGCTACATTCTCCAGGCGCGGCAGTGGGCCGAGCAGGAGCCGACGCTGCTGGCGCTCCAGGCCGCGCTGTTGAGATTCGTCGACAAGCTGGTGCCAGTCATGGCGACAATTCGATCGAGGGCCGGGAAGGTCGTCGAGCGGTGGTGGCCGGGAGTGGAGAGATGGGGCATATTCGCTGGCAGGTTTTTCCTGATTCTTCTCGTCGCTACGCTTGACTGTTCGCTGCGAGGGATCAAATCGGTCTTGCGATTGAGCTCCGCGGCCTTGTGCCTCATTTTTTGGTGCTCCATTCTCAACCTCGCGGTGCTCGCAGGATTCCTCTCCATCGCCATTGCCACTGTAAGTTCTCCAAGCTTTGGCCTTTGCTTCTTTCTCCATTTTGTTTGCTTCATACATAGTTTTTTCTTCTCTTCCAGGTGGTCACGATAGTCACATCGTTTTTCCTTGGATTAACTCCAGGTTTCATCGTCCTGAGCTTGTATGGAGCTTCTGTTTCGTGGATGTATGGGAGCTTCTGGACGACGTTCGCAGTCGTCTTAATTGCAGGTCAGTGACTTTTGGTGAAGTGGATTTCTTCTCACCGTCGTGCTCCAGGCACTCTCTACCTTTTCCAGCAGCCTGCCGCCTGGATCATCCTCTTGCTCTACGCGGTTTACTCGTGCAAGGTCCATGGAGGGTGGCTTGGAGTGTTTCTCTGCTGTGGCCTGTCCTTCGTGTCCAGTGACGTGATCGTTTACTTGGTCGCTACTGTCGAGCAGAGAAGACAAAGTGAAAAGGTACACGATCGGTTTAGTAAAGGCAAGGCAGCTCCCAAGTCCAGTTCTCAAACTCAAAGATTTAGCAGTGCTGCTGAAGACGAGAATTCGCCTTCCGTAAGTGGTGCTCCTGATGTCGACCAAACGGTGGCAGAGGAAGAGGTTGCACGAATTCTGGGGTCCGGGGATCACTATGCAGTTCTTGGCTTCCAACGGTTTGAAGTTTGCGAAGAGTCCGCTCTGAAAAGAGAGTACAGGAAAAAGGTTTGATCTTCTTTTCTGTTTTTCCTTGTCCAGTTTTGGTTGACGATTATGGTGCAGGCAATGTTGGTTCATCCTGATAAAAACAAGGGAAACGCAAAAGCGGAAGAGTCGTTTAAGCGATTACAAAATGCTTATGAGGCCGAATCACACTTTACTCTTGACAGTCATACTATAATGCAGTCTTCCTTGCAGGTTCTTCTGGACACTGCGAAGAAGAAATCTTACGACGATGATTTGCGCAGGGAGGAGTTAATCATGAACTTTCGACGAAACGGCTTTGGCTTCCATAAGGTAAAGCTCGGACCCAAGCGGGATTTTTCTTCGCTAATGATTTGCTTGCTTGTCTGCGACAAACAGAACGGCAGGTGTGAGTCGCCAGATTGTGGGTGTCACAATCTCGATCACCAAGACGAGGGAGCTGAAGCCGAGCTAGTTGACGCACGGCCTATTGTCTGTAAGAATTGCAAGCAGCTCCACATGTGGACGCCTACGGACAGGAATAAGCAACACGCGAGGTGGTGTCAAGTACGTATTTGTTAGTTCCTCACAATCAGTTTAGATTTCGGAGGTGATATTCTCGTCCGTGTCAATTATGCCAGGAGTGTCAGGAATTCCATCCGGCCAAGGATGGAGACGGCTGGGTAGAACAATTTGGTCATGCTGTCTTCTTTGGTTTGTTCCAAAAGGTTGGTAACCAGTTGAATGTAGGACGCAATTTGGTTGTGAAGATGAGCCGTAGTGCGTGTTTTTTTTTTTTTTTTTTGTTCTATCAGGTGGATGTTCCTCAAGCATACGCTTGCGCTGGAGACATGGTGTTCAACGTAACGGACTGGGCGATTTGCCAGGTAACGGAGCTCATTAAAACTCCGTCTCTTGAAAACTTAGACATTGTTTCCTGGCTTCCGTCCACAGGGCATGAAGTGTCCAGCAAACACGCACAAGCCTTCGTTCTTCGTGAGCACACAGGCAGCCATGGGAGGAGGAGGAGGAGGAGGATCTTCATCGAAAAAAGGCAGGAAAGGCAACGTTGCCGAAGGATTTCCATTCCCCGACATGGCGGAGACGATGAACGAGCAAGAGTTTTACGACTGGTTCGAGAAGGCGATGGCTTCCGGGATGTTTGGAGGCGCGAGTTCTTCTCACGGCGAGCAGCAAAGCCATCACCAGCAACAGCAAGCTTCCTCGTCGTCGTCCAAGCAAGGCCATCGAAAGAAGAAGAAAGGAGGCAACAAGAAGCAGTGGTGAAGAACGCATACGTAGATAAAAGCTATATAATCTCAGGAGTGGGATTCGAACCCACGCACGCTCTTTGTCCCCGATTTACCCCAGCAAATACTTTTTTGTCACATCGCTTGCGAGGTAAAAAATGGAATGGAATGATGAATTTGCGTAACAGAAAGCTGGCGATGACTGACGGGTCAACTACGGACGGAATATGCCGTGCGGCGGGGAAGAATATTCTGGGAACCAAGCGTGGGCACACGTCATCCTCCTTCATGGGGATGTCATGTGCGGCAAACGGCCGCCGTGCGGTGACGCAGTTCTTTCCTTCCATCCATCTCTCTTGGTGTGGTGGTGTTTGTTTTTAGAGTGAGCTAGGTCTAGAATGAGCTCGCAAGTACCGCGAGGACGTCGCCAAGGCCTAGGCGCCGCAGGGGTGAGCGCGCGCATTCTCGGCTCGATCGGGGAGCTTCTTGGAGAGATTATGACGCCGCGATCGCTCCTCGGCGAGATTACCGTCACAGGTGGATGAATTTCTCGGGATCTTGGCAGCGCATTCTCTGATCGGGAGCTCGGGAGCTTCTCTGATCGGTTGCCGGCGTAGATCGTCGTCACAGGCGGCTGAATTTCGGAGAATCTTGCGGCGCCGCGATCATGGCCAAGGCGATCGTCCCCGGGCTCCAAGAAAGGCTGCGATCGCTGGTGAATGGCAAGGGCTGGGACTACGTCGTCTACTGGAAGCTCAACGACGATCAGAGGTATGGGATATGTTCTTCGCTAGCGTGGAAAGACCTGTGTCGAGGATTTTGTGGCTCATCGCTCGCAGGTTTATCGATTGGGTGGGCTGCTGTTGTGGCGGAGTGACAGCAGGCCATGGAATTGGAGCGGATTTTTTCTCGCCACAGCCTCACTACCTGGATGGAGGAGCGCCTTGTCCCGATATCTCGTTCCCCCATCCATCAACAAAGACGTGTACGATTCTCTCCGCCATGACGCTCTCTCCTTCCATTCCTCTTGATTCGGCCGGGTAAGAACAAGTATGAGCTCGCTCGCACAGAGAAACTGTAGTGAGTCCTTTAGCTTCGTGCGTGTGCTATCATATGTCACGAAACTCTTGTTTGTGTACTTACGCTTTGGTGGTTTCTTGGCAGTGTTCACGCTCAGGTGCTTTTGTCAGGGCAGCCTCGCTGGATTAACTTCTCGCTGGAGAGTAACCAGGTATATAAGGAGGGATTTTACTTAGAGATTGTGTCGTCGTGGTAACGGAGGTTTTGCTTACAGCACGAAGGCGTGCAAACCAAAGTTTACATTCCAATCCAGAATGGAATCGTGGAGCTCGGATCGTCAAGCCAGGTGCTTTTGATATGCTAGAAGTGAGATGACAAAGCATTGATTCTTTTCTTTGTTGCAGATTGCCGAGAATGCCATGGTCATTCAAAGTGTAAAAGCAAAGTGTGGGGATCCATGGCAGGATTTTCAGGTTGGCAATTACAATTCCATGCAAACTGGCTTGTTATGTACCTTTCTTTTCCACTGTCAGGGTTTCCAGGAGAACGTTGACCAGCAAGGCTTCAAATCTCTGTACAAGAACCAAGAAGATGGTTTAGACAAGCACTTCAACGGCCATGGCGACCAGGTGCACTGGACTTCGGCGCTGGACACTCACCCTTGGGAACACGACGTAGGATTTTCCGACAATCAGTTCTCACTGAACATCGCGGCACCGACTCAGCTCAACTTCCTTGGGCAGCCCTCTAAAACGGGTGGTCAACCGTCGGACCACTTTGACAAGCAAGTTGACTGTTCCCGCCCCGAGAAACAAGGGCCGCCATTTGTGCAGGGGCTGCAAGACGTCCCTCCTCTTGCTCCTCCAAATCACAGCTTCTCGGAGTCTCCTCACGGCAGCGGCGTCTCCAAAGAGAACTCCGAAGTCAAGCAGGAGACGCGCGCTGATTCGTCAGATTGCAGCGACCAGGTGGACGAAGACGATGAGAAAGCCACCGGCCGCTCTGGGCGGCGGCACTTGTCCAAGAACTTGGTCGCCGAGAGGAAGCGGAGGAAGAAGCTTAACGAGCGCCTCTACTCTCTCCGAGCATTGGTCCCAAAGATAACCAAGGTAACGATTTGAGACTGACATTATAAATGAAGGTGAATGACTGACAGGGTGGTTTCCTGTGTCTCAACAGATGGACAGAGCATCAATCTTGGGCGATGCCATTGAGTACGTCAAGGAGCTACAACAGCAAGTTAAGGAGCTGCAGGACGAACTGGAGGACGATTCTCAGGCTGCCAACAATATCCCCACAATGACAGACGTTTGTGGTGGAGGACACAAGCACCCTGGGAGCGAAGGAATCACGATTGCAGACGTTGACACCAACAAATGTGCCTTGAAAGCGGATGATATCAACGACAAGAAAGTGGAAGATCTCACGCAGCCAATGCAGGTAAGTGCTTTGCAACAAAAACACACGGCAAGTCTTACAATGTTTTTTCAGGTGGAGGTGAGCAAAATGGATGCTCACTTGCTAACTCTGAGGATCTTTTGTGAGAAGCGGCCGGGGGTGTTTGTGAAACTGATGCAGGCACTGGATGCGCTGGGTTTGGACGTCCTGCATGCAAACATCACCACGTTTCGAGGATTAGTCCTTAACGTTTTCAATGCTGAGGTAACGTTTTTGCTGTGGTTCTTTTCGCTTTTATCGAGTGAAGTTTTGGCTACTGTAGATGCGGGACAAGGAACTGATGCAAGCTGAGCAGGTCAAAGAGACGCTCTTGGAAATGACATCGCAGCCAGAAGCGCGAAGCAGCTCGTCGCTTGTGTCTGAGTCTCATATGGGAGTGATAACTATTGATGGGTAAACGAGAATGCTGCCAAGTTAAAAGTGATGGAATTTCCAATCTTCCATGACAAATATCTATTTATCATCAATTTCGAACATAAATGTAACTTCCACTTGGAGTGTATACAACATGGATTTCGGGGGTTTAGTTTTTTCAATTTCCATACTGATTATGTTATTTAGAGGCTCAGGCTCAGACTGTTCTTGTAAGAGTGTTGAGTATAACAACGTTGCTAACTTCACGATTTTAGAGGATGGTTATAATTTCAAGCCCGGAGTGTCCCGGCAGCTCTTAGATTGCAAAGATCACAATAAGAGGAATGCAATTGCTAGGTGGTTGAATATGGAATATGGAAGGCATGAGATAGAAGACAACAATCCCACTTACAGTTATTTTGTAGAGGATTTGCAGTGTTTTGAGATTACTTCTTTTAATGGATGGGGTCATTTTAGAACCACAAATGGATGGTATGGTTGGAGTTTCTGGGCCTTCACAGGGAGTTTCATTCAATCTTCTAACCACTTGAGTGTTGATTTTCTTTAATTCTTGGTTAACCATTGGGTATTCCTAGTTTATGTTTTGTTTATATTTAATTGAAGTTTTTAGTTGTATACTTTGAGTTTACTAAACTTCTTCACAAAATTACTAATAAATTTCTTTTTATTTGTTATTTGCCATAGCTAAATGATTTTTCTTGCTAAATAGAACGAAAAAAGAAAGATTTACTGTATGTTTAACAAAAAGCAAAAGTAAAGCTGTAAAGGTTGTAAAGTTTGCATCCATCGATGCAAACTTCCATTTCTCGCGATAAATGTTAGGACATAGAAAATAAAATGTAGAGGCAGCAAGCTATGTACCAAGCTCTAGTTTTTCCGGCTTTTACGATCTTGCTACTGGCACGGTTTCAAATCTCAGAGCTGCTGGTGCTAGGTATAGTCTTAAGGCCGTTCAGCCCAACATATCAAACGCTTCAGCTATTTCACCGAAAGCTTACAGTGCTTCGAAGTTATGTCGTTCAATGATTGGGGCCATTACAAGTCGGGGCATGGGATTACCATCGATTTTACCTGAACATCATTGACAAATGTAAAACCATGACAATAAGCTTGAAAAAGATTTAGTTTCCAGAACTAGTCTGAAAATCAGAGTAGAGTTTTCTTTCACGTGACTCAGCAGAAAATGGATGGATTGTCACTCACATCTATCATCAGAAACTGTGAAATAACTGGTCATCACTGCCACGAGTAAAGAAGGGATTCATCTAATTGGCTCAGCAACTCGGTGAAATTTTCACTCATGTTGCCTTCAGACAAACTGTGAAATTTCTATAGACATCATCGCCATTCTAGCCTCTAGAAGGGAAGAAAAACTTACAAGGAATTCGTGGCCTCCTAGTTGGAGCGAGAATGGAGCTTTACTGATCCATCGCAAGCCATTGTAAGCACTGCCAATTACGCGTTATAGAAGGTGAGAAGAGAAACACACAAACAGAAAACAAACCTGCTTTGAAGGCATGGTTTCAGTGACCACTCCCAATCTTTAGCGCGCTCAAGAACATATGTTCTAGTGCCGCTTCTCGACAAAGTGCTGCGAGCTTCGACATGTCAGTCTCGCCGAGCTCTTCGATTTGAGTCGTCTTGAACCGGCGCAGCTCGTCAATGTTGCGGCCAGCAGGACACTGCTCCTCCTCGAGAGCCCGCAAATTCATAGCTTGCCATCTCAAGTGACGAACTCTCTTCACATATTCGGTAATATTTGTGTCTTCAGCCTGGACAAATGGACAATCATGATGTGAAACAACACACATACACATACCTCAATGATTAGAATACCAGGAAAGCCAGGCTTGCAGTAGCCACCCACACGAAGTTCCTTTCCCCACTCCACGATACATTTCCTTTTCCGCGTGGACTTGATGTGATGAAACCTTCACAAAAGTGATCGAGCTAGAAATTGTTAAAGATTCACAAAAGAAAACAAACCAAAAGAGTTTTCTCTTTAGGAGTTGTGACGCTCCAGACATCGATGAAGCGTTGGAGGATTCAGTGGTTTGATCGTTTTCTGATATCCGCCAAGCCAAGTCCTACACAAGACAGGTTAAGAACCTCCAAAATGGAAGCGAGAAGAAACTTACCTGTACTTTTTGTAGCACTAAAAGAGTCGATTCCTGTCCGAGAGCTCCCTCGGCAACGCTGGCTGCCGCTCGATTTAAGCTGTCAAGTTGATCTCTTGCAACGCTTCCATGGCATCTCACGTTGACAGCCACCGCTTGGCTCTCTGGATAGTCGTCCGGGAAGGTGAACTGGATGCTTAAACACTCAAGCAACTTAAGGTGGACAGTGAACGAGACAGAGCCACCATAGCCAGCCTCAAACTCTCCCTGGCCAGAGTATATAGACCGCAAAGCCTCCACCTGTGGATCGAGAATTTTTTTTTTTTAATCAGAAAACCATAGAAAACTTATCAGAAATTCTTCACAGTGGAAGAAAGTTTTCCAGCATCGACCAAAGAGAATTTTCAGCAATGCGCAAAACCAAATTTGCATTTGATCGATGCACATTCAAAGAAAGAAAGACCTTTATGAAATTATCACAAAAAGGGTCTATGAAAAGGGGAAAGAAATCGAAAGCGACGAGATTCATCCGCAGAGAATTTTCAGCAATGCGCTAAACCACATTTGCATATGACCGACGCACATTGAAAGAAAGACCTTTATAAATTATCACGAGAAGCGTCTATGAAAAGAGGAAAGAAATCGAAAGCGACGAATTTCATCCGCAGAAAAAGTAGGAACAATCGATCACAAGCAAACATTGTACCTCGTCTAGCTGCCGCTGGAGATTCGCGGAAGTGTGGCGGCGTCCATCCATAGCTCTAGCTCCGCGCTGCCGCCGCCGCCGCCCATTTTGGAAAAGAAGAACCCTAGTGGGAGAGAAGGAAAGCAGCATTAAAGAAGAATTTTTTAGGGCTAAAGGAAATTACTTGCTAGGGCGGACGGAATGGATCTCTGATGGTGATGGCGATGGCGCTGGCGCAGTGGCTCGCGGCATCCGAGGCGTAAGCGGTGCGATCGCGGCGGCGAGCTCGGCAGCTAGATCACGGTCCTAGGATGCTGGTGAGCTCGCCGCTGATGAAGGGCTTGTTCGATGCCCCTCCCCAATTCTGCCGTGGACGCGCTTGGCTTCGCGACGCTGCTCCTGGTGCTGGTGCTCCTCATCCTCGGCGTCCTCTGCGCGGCCTATGTTCTCCACTTCCGCTCCAAGATCCACCACGACAATCTCTTGGCGCTCAGGCATTTTAATTCCCTCTGGATCGTTCGCCTCATTCTCATCCTCTTCGCGGTTCTCTGGGGATTGGGCGAGCTCCTCCGGCTGCCACTGCTGCGAAAGAAGGGCTGGTTCCTCCACAGGCTTGGATTCCGGTGGCAAGTCACCAGCTGCAAGATCTACATTCTCTCGTCGCTGGGGATTCTCGAACCGTGCTTCTTCCTCACCGCGCTGTTCCTCGTCCAGGGATCCATCCGCAGCGCTCCCTTCACGCCGAGAAAGAGATGGAACGGCAGAGTGATCGTCTCGGTGCTGGGATTTTGCGCTCCGGTGTTCCTCGCGCAAGTGTTCTTGGTGGTGGTGAGCCCGATTGTTTGGGGGCGGCGGGAGGAGGAGGGCAGTGCGAGCTACAGGGCTGGCGGAGGATTCGTCGATCGATTCAAGCTCCCGCACTACTTCACGCGGGTGTTCCAGGCGATGGAGGTGGAGGAGAGGGAAAAGGTGGTGGTGGCGGCGGCGGTGTGCACGTATCCTCTCCTGAGCACCGTTGTTCTTGGGATGTTTGGCTGCGTCTACGTGATCTACTTCCTCTACCTGGGCTGGAAGATGGCGGCGCTGGTGATCAACCGGAGGCTCCAGCTGCGGGTGTACGCGCTGGTGATCGCGGTGGCGCTGCTGTTGCCGATCCACGTCGTGTTCTTGGGGCTCTCGGTGCTCTCCCGGCCCAGCGAGCCGCTGTTCGAGGCGGTGGGATTCCTGGGCTTCTTGACGGTGCTGCTGTGCACGACGGTGGGCGAAGGAATTCTCGTGGTTCGTCCCATTGCCGACGCGCTGGCGATTCGGTGGCGATATGAGGAGGCCGCCTCCGCCAAAGCTTCGTCGCTCTGGGAGCCGCCGCCGCCAGTGAGATCATCATCCTCGGAAGAACTTCCGCCTCAACGCCAGTTTGTAGTTCCTCTCACGGCGGCGGTCTTGGGTGACGAGTCTGCTACTGCTGGGGATTCGAGAGTCGAGAATATAGAGATTTCGAGACTGCACAAAGCTTTCCAGGCAGCGATGGTGAAATCGTCATCGTCGTCTTCATCGTCACCACCGAGTCCCACTCTTCCCGGAAGAACACTCGTCTCATACACGAATAGAATACTGGTATAGTTTCTTTACCTCATCTTTGATAAAAGAAATACGTATTTTTCCTCTTACTGCGATGACGATCACCTCTAAGCTGTGGTTTTTGGTCCCAATCTTCCCGGAAGAACACTCGTCTAGAATATTGGTATAGTAAAAGAAAAGGTATTTTTCCTCTTACTGCGATGACGAATCTCTCAAAGTAAGATGTGATTTTTGGTCCCAATCTTCTCGGAAGAACACTGGTCTCATACAAGAATAGAATATTGATAATAGTTTTTTACCTCATCTTTCACCGATCACGATCACAAGAACATCTCTCGGAGCTATACCAAAGATGTAATTTTTACCAATCGCACACGCAAAGCCATGGAATTTATACACGAGCCTCCAATGGAGAAGCCGTCCATCCATGGACAAACATTATCCAGCCGCGATGGAGCAAAAAAAAAACTATTATGGGCGAAATGATTATGTCGCACTGTTGACCATTTTGGGATTATTTGGATCTAGGGTTGTGATGGATTAGGGCTTATGCGCGTGAGCGAGCGAGTGCTGGATGAGGAAGAGGAGGCGCTGGAGCAGCGGCGGCAGCGCAGCATCAGACAGGATGGAGCTGCCAGAGTGTGAGCTGAGGAGGAATGTGTGAAAATGGTAGACGGCGATGAATCGAGCGAGGAGAGCGAGGGAGGGGCAGCGGCAGCCGCGGCGTAGCGATTGCTCGCCGCAATCTCAGAGGAGCGGCCACATTCTCGGCGCTGGAGCATCGATTCCGGCGATAATATGAAGAACTTCCTGCGTAAGTTCCACTTAGTAGGGAGTAGTAGCGTAGAGAGTGGGAGATCTTCGCAGCAGCAGGAATCAGCGCCATCGCCGTCGGGTTCCACTTTGTCGAGCATTTCCGACTGGATTTCGTCTCTCACCTCCAGACCATCCACCGCCTCGAGTGATACTTCGTCTCACCACGGGGGAGGAGGAAGTGGTGCTAGAGCGCGGGTGGAAGGCACCACAGCTCCTGCCAGAGTGAGCACCACCAACGATTCCTCGTCAGTAACGCCATCGTCACAAGCTGGGAAAACGTTTTCATCGTATGGATCTCTCGAGGAGGAGTATCAGGTCCAGCTCGCCATAGCTCTCAGCGTCAACCAGCCAGTTGATCCAGAGGTCGCGGAGATCGAAGCTGTGAAAAGAATCAGCCTTGGTTTGTGTCCCGAGCGTTCTACGACTTCACAGGCGGACATGGCTACATACCGGTATTGGGTAAAAAACATTTTTTTCCTTCTTTTGTTGCTTTTGTTTAGGAGAATAACGTTTTGTTTTTCTGATCGCAGGCATACAATGCTCTGTCCTACGATGACAGTGTGGTGGACGGGTTCTATGACGTATACGGTGTGGCGTGTGATCCAGTTTATCCCACGAAGATGCCATCTCTTGTGGATTTGCAAATGAAGCCTCTGTCCGATGCTGCAAGCTGGGAAGTTGTTCTCGTCAACAGATTAACAGACAGCGAGCTCGCGAACCTGGAAAAGAGTGCTGCTCGCACTCGAGCTCAGTGCACGGGGGGTCCGAGTGCTTTGGCGCAAAAGATTGCTGTTTTGGTGGCTGAGCAAATGGGAGGGGCTGTCGAGAACGACGTCGACATGATCTCTGTTTGGAGGACTACAAGCTGGGAGTTGAGGACTTCTCTCAAGAGCAACATATTACCTCTAGGCTATCTTCAGATTGGCTTGGCTAGACATCGAGCTCTACTATTCAAGGTAATTCAGAAAGCGGACTTTCTTTTCGTTTTCGCTCACCTTTTCCTTCATTTTAAGTTTCCAGGTTTTGGCTGACTCTGTTGGTATTCCCTGTCGACTCGTGAAAGGAAAGCACTATACTGGAGTGGACGAGGGAGCTGTGAATATTATTAAGGACGCTGATAGCAGGTGCGGTTTTACCTTTCGTGCTTCTTCTTGCACTAATCTTGATGGTTGTAGGGAGTATATTATCGATCTCATGGGTGCTCCTGGGGCGCTTATACCTTCAGACGGTCCTGCGAGCGAGAAGAACGTTCCGCTGAACCACGACACACACCTTGGGCAAAGGCACCACAGTGAGCCCGCTGATTTCGAGAATGCTCTTGCGGGCGCTGGCGCTGGCGCTGAGCGTCGTCCTGGGCCTTCTCACGGAAGATCACCCTCCTGGACAGAAGGCATTGGAGCACCCGGGGCTCGTCAAACGAAAGCCAAAGACATGTCACAATACATGATCGAGGCGGCCAAGGAGAATCCCGGACTTGCACAAAAGCTACAAGACGTTTTACTGGAGAGCGGGATAGTTGCACCTCCAGAGTTCCTAGCGGAGTTATCCCCTACGGAACCACAGCAGAGGTCTACTGATGCGCGGCCGGATCTGAGGAGGCCCAGTCGAGTCGCGAGAGTTAAAGAGCGAGGAAAACCTCCTCTTTTAACTAAATCGCCTGCTGCAAGACCAGATGATGCGGCTGCAAAGGATAGATTACAACGCTTGAAGTCTGTGGAGGGTCTAGGAGACAGGCGACCGCTCGAGTGCCCGATGCCTTATTATCAGGCCCAAGCAGCAGCACCAACGGTGTTGACGCCGGTTCACGAGAATAGCTTTCCGGCAAACTTGATAAAGAACTCACCAGTTGCTGCTTCAGCTATAACAGCAGCTGTTGTAGCCTCGTCGATGGTGGTGGCCGCAGCCAAGACGGACATCGGTGATGGTTCGTTGGAAGTTCCGATCACTGCTGCAGCTACAGCAACCGCTGCTGTAGTCGCTGCTACGTCGGCTGCAGTGGTGCTCAAGTCAGAAAGTGGATCAGGGAATTCTGATAAAGGTGGAAGTGGGGACAGCAAAACCAGGACAGAGGAATCAGGAAGTCACAGTGGTTCAAAGAAGAAAAACAATTCCAGAGAATCTGAAGGTGATGCGGGCGACTTGGAAAATGGTCGAACAGGAATCAGCAAATCCGACTCGATCCTTGATGTTGCGGAGTGGGAGATTCCGTGGGGAGAGTTGCGTGTTGGCGATCGTATAGGTCTTGGTAAGGAGTTTAAACTTCTTTTACGCGAACTCATGTTGGTGTGCAGGGTCCTATGGAGAAGTGTACCGCGGAGAGTGGCATGGAACTGTAAGTAACTGTGACAAGTGTATCCTGAATTCACGACTCATATTAAATTCATGCAGGAAGTTGCCATCAAGAAGTTTTTGAACCAGGATATCTCCGGCGATGCCTTGGAAGAATTTATTACTGAGGTGGAATCTAAACCATCATGGGAATTTTTTTTTACAAGGTTTTTTTTTTCTTGCGAAAGGTTCGATTGATGAGAAGAATGCGGCATCCAAATGTGGTTCTCTTCATGGGTGCCGTAACCAGGCCGCCAAATCTGTCGATTGTAACAGAGTTTCTTCCAAGGTACTTTGATGCGGTTTTGGATCATTGTCGATATTTGGAGCGTGCAGAGGGAGCTTGTTTAAGCTGATTCACCGGCCTTCAAACCAGGTTGACGAGAGAAGAAGGCTGAGAATGGCTCTCGACGTGGTAAGAAAATTTCTTTTTTTCTTGATATGGCATTTAGTAACGATCGTGATACCATTGAAAGGCCAAGGGTATGAACTATTTGCACTCTAGTACCCCGATGATAGTTCACAGGGACTTGAAATCTCCGAACTTGTTAGTCGATAAAAACTGGGTTGTGAAGGTACAGTAAAAGTTATCGGTTTTGTTTAGTAACACGAAAATTTGCAGGTTTGCGACTTTGGATTGTCTCGAATGAAACATCACACTTTCTTGTCTTCGAAGTCACAGGCAGGCACGGTGGGTACACAAGACTCCCTTACTTTTCTCCTGGGTAGTTTTTTGGATTTGAGAGGACTTGTTTTTAACAGCCTGAATGGATGGCACCAGAAGTATTAAGAAATGAACCGTCTAACGAAAAGTAAGAATCGTCTTTGCTTTGCTAAATTGACACGAGCTCCTTTCGTTTGCAGATCGGATGTCTACAGCTTTGGAGTTATCCTTTGGGAACTGGCTACTCTGCAACAGCCGTGGCATGGAATGAACTCAATGCAAGTCGTCGGGGCTGTCGGTTTTCAAAACAGGAGGCTCGACATCCCAGCGGACATGGATCCCGCCATCGCAAAAATCATCCAGGAGTGCTGGGAAAAGTATGTGTTTCCTTCTTAGATTTTGTAGCGCCTGACAAAACAAATCCTCCGTTTCTTTTGGTGGCAGCGATCCTGCTCTTCGTCCAAGTTTTCATGAAATAATGGATTCCCTGCGGCCTTTCCAAAGACCTGTTATCCCCTCGCAAGGGGAGGCAGGAGGAGGTAAGCAAAAGCAACCACGCAAGGCTTCGTAGGAACAAAAAATGGCTGGGGCTCCGTTTACTAATGTATCTGTAAAGTACAGTAATTTATAGGTGGTCGAAGACGGATTCTAGGAAGGAAGAAAAACAGGATCAAGGATGTCAAATTTGACAGAAGTTCAGGGTGGAAAGACAGGAACTATCGTCTTCGGTTTTGGTTACATGGTCGGACAAACGAGACGAGGAATAAGACGAGGAAGACGAAGACGAAGAAGCAGCATTTCTAGCAGGGCCGAGATGGAGACCAGAAAGTAGAGTATAAGGCGCAGCATTTGTGGGATCGAGCTCGTAGACGTACTCCGCAGCCTTCCTGGCCCTGTGAGAATCACCAGCAGCAGTGGAAGCACTGAGAAGCGACGTCCAGGCCACAGCATCCGGCTCAAAAGGCATGGTGGCGATGAGATCTTCGGCCTCTCTGAGCCTTCCAGATCTCGCCAGAGCATCGACGACGCACATATAGTGATCCAAGCTCGCAGCTATGGCGTAGTCCGCCGAGAGGGACGCAAAGTGGGAGTAGACGTCGCTGAGAAGGCCGGCGTGAGCACAGGCCAGAAGAACGCTCACAAAGGTGACGGAGTTTGGAGTGAAGCCGTGGAGCTGCATGGCGTGGAAGATCTCGAGAGCTTCGTGGCTATGGCCGTTTAGAGCAAAGGCCGCGAGCATGGAGCTCCAGGCTTTGACGTCGCGGTGCTTAAGATCGTCAAACACGAGCTTGGCCTCGCGGAGGTGGCCAAAGTTTCCATACATCGCTACCAGTGCCGTCTTGATCGCAAAGTGGGCGATCCATCCTCTCCCCTCGTCGGTGAGAATGGAGTGGACGATCCTTCCCTCGGCGACGCTGGAGCACGAATCGATGATGGCGGTGAAGGTGACGCTGTCGGGAGCGATTCCTTCGAGATCCATGGCGCGGAAGAGATCAAGAGCCTCGCGGCGGCGATGCCCGGACTGGGCATACGCGGTGATGATCGAGTTCCACGCGACGACGTTGTTATTCTTTCGCGGGATCTTGTCGAAGAGCTGGCGCGCCGCGTGGAGATCGCCGGCGCGGGCGTAGGTTGTGACCATCGTCGTCCACGAGACGCTGGATCGCAGCCTGGGAGGAGTGTTCTCGAAGAACTCGCGCGCCTGGGAGGGAGAGTGATTAATCGCATAGGCCGCGAGCATCGCTGCCCATAGCACGGCGTCGCCGCCAGCGCCATCGATCCCAGTGGCGCGATCGAAAGCCCGCCTCGCGTCCTCGATCTTGCCCAGTCTGCCATACATCTCCACCAGCGCGGTGGAGATCGTGATCTCTCCCTGGAATCCGGCCGTGAGGAGCTCGGCGTGGATCCACATCCCCAGCCCCATCGCTAGCGACTGACCGCAAGCGTCGAGGATCGCGACGAAGGTCACGCGATCCGGGCGAGCGCCCTCGAGGTCCATCGCGCGGAAGAGCCCCAGCGCTCGCGCAAAATCCCCTTCTCTGGCAAATGCGCAGATCATCGCGTTCCAAGAGACTGTGTTCCTCTCGGGCATTTGATCGAAGAGAAGCTTTGCTCGATCGATGCGATTGCTCTTGGCGTAGGCGACGAGCATCGCGGTCCACGACGCTACGTCCCTCCTGGGCATCCCCGAGAAGAATTTCTCCGCGCGATCGAGATGCCCGCTCTGGGAGAGGATCGAGAGCATGATGTTCCAGGAGAATTGGTTCCTGGGATCCATCCGGTGGAAGAATTCGCTGGCGTCCTCGATCGAGCACTTGCCATACATCTGGAGCACGAGATTGGAGAGGAACTCGTCGCCGCGCAGCCGGCCGTGCTTGATCATCTGGGCGTGGATCCGGCGGCCATGGGAGAGCGCCCGCGCGGATCCACACCGCCGGAGCAATGATCCATACGTGACGCTGTCCGAGGAAGACGATGAGGATTCTAGGGATCTCACTGCCCTCTCGAGCTGCTCTAGGACTAGCGCTGGATCGTCGCTCTTGCTCGCGTGGAGGAGGAACTGCGCCATGCCGCGCGGCGTACTGCCAAGTAACGGTATCTTACCGCGCGGTATGGCGGGCTAACTGACACTCAAAGCAATCCAATGTGGATGACCCGCGCATTTCTCTTTTTTGAAAAAAGTGCCCTATTAGAAATGGGGAATTAGGGTTTCAATCTCCGGCGATGGAGGCCGAGAGAGAGAGGCGCTTGAGCCGGCGGATCTCCGGCATTGTCATCGCCGCGGCCAAGGCGGTGTCCAAGCTCACCGAGGGGTAAGATCACAGCTCCAGCGGCGCTGCATTCTCTGTGCTTGTTGTGTGCTTATCAGGCAGAAAGATCCAGAGGAGGACCCGGATTTCGTCGCGAGGAATCCTCAGTGGGAGCCGGAATTGCCGCCGATCCATGGCGTGCGGCGGCCGACGGATGCGAAGGCGCAATCTACTGCTGCGCTGCTTGCGGCACTTGACGAGCTCCCTCCCATTGCGATCGATTCGGCCGCCAAGCAAAACTGGAAGAAGGCTTACAAGACAGTGAAGAGGATTTTGGTAAGTCACTCCACCCACCTGTGTAGTGTAAAGCTTTTCACTTTCGTTTCTTCACAGATTGTGAGAAGGAAGGCAATGCGTAGTGCTCTTGGAACTGGAGCTCAGATGGAAGGACATGCGCTGGGGGTGTGGAGTCCCTATAGCACGGCGCGTTTGAAGCTCTTTATGATGCTCTACAACCAGTAATCATTCTAGCGCTGAAGTTTTTGCTTCAAAGTTCTCACTACTGTGCCAGGAAAGCGGAGTATGTCGTTCTTTGCTTGATCATATCACACCTCTTGGTGCTCATCTTCCAAGGATCATCCCAAGAACAATGGACTCACGTCCGGAAGTTCGACCTCGACTTTGCCGATGCGACGCTTACTCTGTTCTACACGTAAGTATATTCCAAGATCTAAGAGGTATTTTAGCATTGACATTCTTTTTTGTCTCAGCATTGAGATGATTCTTCGGATCCTCTGTCTTGGCTTTATCAGAGGTCCTAACACATACCTGCGGGATCCATACAATAGGCTCGATTTTGTCATCGTGATTGATTCCTGGTAAGTCGGTCTTTCGTGTTTTCTATACTGAAGGTCTTAAAGTTTAGGGTCCATATTGGTGTAAGAAGTGTGACTGGAAGCGAGTTCTTTGCACGCATTGCGATTCTTCGTGCATTTCGAGCCCTGTTAGTTTTGAAGCATTTCACGTTCTTCGCTGATGTCATAGTATGTTCTCTGAGGTTATGTTCCCATAACAACGTATGACGAAAGTGTGAATCACTTGCTAGGCTATCATGTCTGCAGTTGGAAGGAGCATTGTTCCTCTTGAGAACGTCATTTACTTGACACTGTTCATTATCGTCTTCTATGCGCTCCTTGGTATTGAGTTTCTCGAGGAAACTTTAGATCAACGGTATGTATAAACGAGCCTTTTTCTGTAGACTAAAGCGTTTTGCTACTCATCCAGGTGCATTCGAACGACAGATAACCAGTTGGCCTATCCAGAGCGGTTTTGTGATGCGAAGAAAGTGACGGATGGGTACAAGTGCCCGAGCTCACAAAGTCAGAAATGTCTGGTAAGGAGTTGATCTTTATCATCGAAACAGTAGGTAGTTTTCCTTAAATGTTTACTCTTGCAGTGCAGGTGTCCGGTAATCCCAACTGGGGATCTACAAACTTTGATCAGTTCCACTATGCCCTGCTCACTATGTTTCAGGTTCTCATTTGACAATTTTGTGTCTTTTAAAATTGTTCTGACGGTCGCTGCTTGTTTCAAGGTCATATCCTTGGAAGGTTGGAGTCTCTTAATGTACAGCATCAAGGATGCCGAAGCTGCGCAAGCAGGTGCTGCTTCTAATGTTTCTTCTTCTTGTTGACTCCTCAAGTCTCTTGGATGCAGATGCATATTTTATGACTTTAGTCGTTTTTGGCACATACTTGCTTATTAATGTTTTCATTGCTGGTATAAGTGGAGTGTTCCTTCGAGTGAGGGCTGAACATCAGGCAAGAACTTTATCTCTCTGAATTCTATATGTTTTGTGTTTTCTTTTTCCAGATGCTGCTAAAGAAAAGCCGCCAACCGAACCAAGTTACTTTCTACAACGCAACGGTAATGGCAAATGTTCTCAAAGACGACATTATTAAGGACGATGAGAGGAACAAGAGATGGCACATCCGTTTCATAAACAGATCAAAGAAAATGCACCGGGACGTCATTCGTGCTGTAAGTCGTACTCGGTCGTCCGTGAAGGCGGCCTTTCAGGCCACCTCGTTCAGGTTCAGTAGACAGTTCTCCATGGCTGGGGGTAGCCGGCGGTTTTCACGAACTTACTCACGGGCGCTGAGTCGTAGTGTGACCATGGGTATGAGAGCAGCAATGGACTTGTCGCATAAGTCCCGTGCAATTGTTGAAAATCCAAACTTCAACCGGGGGGTGCTATTGGCGGTCACTATAAACATCATCATTTTGTGCCTGTACAAATATGGGATGTCGAACGATTTACTCTATACTCTTTGTACGTCTGATGGTTTTTCTTTCTGGAATTTCTTTCTGACGTCCTTAACATGGTGACAGATGCTATTCAAGCGGTGCTGCTTGTTATATTTGCCGCAGAGATGGTTTTGCGATTTCTTGCGTATGGACCTAGGCCATTTATTGCAGACAGTGAGTACTTACTGTTTATCTTGTCCTTCACTGAACATGCCTGTCTTTATCAGAAATGAACGTGTTCGATGTTTTCGTGATCTCCGTGTCTGCTGGGGCTTTGGTTTCAAGAGCTTATCCCAATATCTCTTCAGTTCGGGTTTTGCGATGGTTTTACTTGTCGAAAAAGTATGTGGATAAACATCCAAGTACAGTGGTAAGGCTCGTGTACACAGTTTTTTTTTTTTTTTTTCCTGCTCTTACTTTTCTTTTAACTGACTTTAACTTCTCCCAGGCCACATGTATAAAAAGTGTGGGCTCTCTTGTTAGTGTTTTTTTCTTCTACCTCCTTGTTATTACAATTTGCTCCATTATCAGCATGGAACTGTACAGTGGTCAATACTATAACTTTCCGGACGGTTATCCCAGGGGAAATCATGACTCCATGCTGCAGACTATGCTTTTATGGTTTACCGTCACAACAGGTGAATCCTGGGTCAACCAAATGTGGAACTCTATGAGACCCGGAGTGAAATATAAGTAAGTAAATACTACTATGGTTTTTTCTCTCTGACACGAAGTAATGGTTTTTCTTTCACAGTTGGCTGGCGCCCTTTCTCTATGTATTATACTACTGCATGACAACTTATGTTATCTTAAATCTTATTATTGCCGTCATCCTGGAGAGGAGCGAACTTACTGACAACCAAAAAAAACAGATACAACGAGTAAGTACCTGGTTTAATAAAAACTTCTGTCGATGATATTTTTCTCTTTCAGGTAGAACATATGAAACTACTGAGGCGGATGCATAGCAGGGCTTATATACGAAGCGGAAGCTGGGTTGTAGACGCTGTGGAAGGAGCCCAGGCCGGTTTCAAAAAGGTGGCATCTCGGGTTTTAAGCATGAATGTGAGGGCATTGAAAGACGGTAGCAGACGGGATGAACGAGAAAGAAGACGAACAAGGGATGGAGGATCTGAACCAGCCAGTAGTGGACAGTCGGAGCTTCCAGGGGCAGTTTCTGAGCAGCCAGCAGGCAATACAAGCGTCACATTACAGCCCTCAACATCTGCTGCTGCAGAAAAATCCCGCACCAGTTCTGAAGCAACATCAGAGAAGTTGCATCGCCGCTCTTCTCAAGTTATTCAAACGTCCGGCTTTCCAACCGATATTGGCGAAAGGCGGGAGTCGAGAACTGCACTAGAGAGCGCAGTTCTCACGCTTGCAACAATGACCAAGCCACCTGTCGTAAGGGCTCCAAGCAGAATGGACAGGAGGCTGAGCCGGAAAATGAGTAGAACCGCCAGCAAAAGACAGTCGTTTCAGCTAGCTGAGTACGAGGAGCTTGAGAAGAGCATTGCAACTTTAGAGAGGCCGTGGTACTTGCAAGAAGGGTCACTTCTTCTGTTTGGACAAGGAAACGCCGTCAGGAACTTGTGCCAGCTAGTTGTGGGAAGTGTTTGGTGGTGGTGGTTCTCAATGTTTTGGGCTGTTATCAGCGTGTGGACTGTGGTCGAGATGAAGCCGAATGGCGATCCCCTCGTTCTCAAGTCCTTCCTGCCTGTACTGCACAACCTCGTGTTTGTGGTAAGCATCTCAGTTCCATGCTCTGATTTCTTATGCTATGTGATTGGAACAGGTATTCTTCGCGGAGCTTCTCATGAGAGTTATCTCTCAAGGCCTGATCTTCACTCCCGACGCCTACATGGGGGACTTTTACAACCTGATCGACGTTTTTATACTTATCATCGACGCACTTAACATGAAAACTACGTGGAGCGAGAATTCAGCAAGGCCTATTCACGCTCTGCTTGCGCTCCGGCCGTTTCGATTCGTGTGTCGACTCACCGGGTTGAAGAGTTTATTCGGTAATCTAGTGAGTACCTGTCCGGCGATTGCGTCAGTTTTGCTATTCACTTTCACCATCTTTGCAATCTTCGGCTCTATCGCTATTCAACTCTTTCGTGGCCACCTTTACTCTTGTAACGACACTAATGTGAGTCACCGAGCCTACTGCACGGGCTATTACATCAACAAAGTCTCGCTTATGGCTCCTCGTGCATGGACCAATCCTACGTTCCACTTCGATGACATTGGCAACGCTCTTCTCACCCTGTTTATCACGTCTAGCTTCGACAATTGGGTTGGAAACTGGTTATATCCGGTCATGGACATTGCTCCCGAGAATCATCAGCCCCGCCGAAACCACAGCCCGGTTTACGCTCTTTTCATGGTGGCCTTTGTCTGCGCTGGAGGTTTTTTTATAATGCGAGTTTTCGTGGGAGTGTTCATCAACGAGTTTGGAGTTAGATCCGGTTCCAAGCTTCTGACAGAACGGCAGAAGCTCTGGAGGGACATGAACCGTATAATTCAGAAGATGAGACAGAGACCGGTGCCGCGGCCGCAGAAAGATCCCATCAGGAAGTTTTGCTATCATTTGGTCCATCATAAGTACTATCCCCACGGTATGGTAATCGTCATTCTTAGTTACTGCGCATTTCTGGCCTCTCATGTTGCCAACCAGACCAAGGCAACCTCCAGAAGCCGGCAGAAACTTCATTGTTTCTACACAACTCTCTTCTTGGTAGAGATGTTGCTGAAGATAATTGGTAATGAGGTGAGTACAATCAACAACAAACTCTCGGCTACTCTTCTAACTTCTTTCTTTTTCTTTTTCGGTGAGTGCAGTTTAGCGTTTACAAACATGACCACGCTAGTCATTTGGAAGCTGCGCTCTCCTTGACAGCTGCTGCGTGTTTGTTGCCTAAGAAAGGCTCGCCTCGTCAAACTATAGGCCGCGTTGCATACAGCTTGCGGCTTTTTTGCCTTATTCCTCACATTCCAAGGGCCCGGGTGCTGATAAACACTATAATCGTCTGCTTCCCAAGCATGGCAGAGATCATGGCTCTTCTCATGATCTGCCTCTTCGCGTTCTCGGGCATTGGCTTTCAAATGTTTAGCCAAGTGAAGGATGGAGTTTGCATTGGGCCTGCCATCAACTTCAGGAGCTTTGTAAACTCGTTCATCACCGTATTTCAGGTGCACAATGTTTTCACAAGTTGGCACAGATTAACTCTGTAGTCTTACAGGTGACAACTGCTGATAACTGGTCTTGCATTATGGGCGATGTTATGGTGGCGCCGCCATACTGCACGAAAGGTTCGTCGCTAATGGCAAACGACTGCGGTTTTCCTGTAGCGGGCGTTGTCTACTTTGTGGCGCTCATCGTCGTGGCAAACAACATATTCATGAACTTGTTCGTGGCTATTATCTTGGACGTGATCACTTTCGGGCTGGTGAACGAGAACTCGATGATCACTCCGAATCATCTCGAGGACTACAGGGTCCTATGGTCCAAAGACGCATTTGATCCGAGGTAACTTCCACATTTTCTCTGCTCTTTTCCTCGGAGCCTTTATGCATGCGTACGGATTTGGCAGGGGAACTGGATTTATTGGCATTCACAAGCTCAGGAATTTTGTGAATTCTCTCGGGATTCCTTTGGGACGTCGACACAATGCCTCGTCAGAATGGTGAGCTATAGAAGCCTTAACATTCATCGAGATATGATTTGATTCTTGTTTCTTGCCGAGACAGGTACGCAAGGATAGAGTACGAAGTCATGAGCTTCCGAGTTCCAAACAAAGGAATTCCTTTCAAGCAACTCCTTGAGACGCTAACACTCTACAAGATTGGACCCACGGTAACACAAAAATATTTCTAGCTCGTTCTAAACGCTAGCTATAATTCGTCACCAGGGCCTTCCACTCTCGCTACGAATCGAGAGGGAGAAACACATCCAGGGCATTTACAGAGGTGGCGCGGTCATCAAAATCCAAGCCGCGTGGAGGGGACATCTGGTGAGAAGAGTTAAGCTGAGAAAGAAAGAAGAAGAGACTGAAAAGGAGATTGAGAGGACGAGAGAAAAGGGGAGGCCGGAGGAGATAGAAAAGGAGGAGAAACTCAAAAGTGAATCAATTTTGTTAGAAGATCTAAAAACCTGACTAGTAAAATGTAAAATGCTATTCTTTCTTTTGAAAAGATGGTGGATGTGGATGCTCCAACAATGTAGTAGCTCGTTTCATTATTCCAGGAGATTATAGAAACCATGTCTCGGTCGCTATAGTAGTTTCTCGACGCTAACATCGGGGGCGATTGTTATGATACTGCGATAGCAGAGGAAGAACTCCCGCCTATCTGTTTTGCTCCCTGTTTGGAAGGAGCTCCGGCGGCTGTGTCTTTCGATTTGTTGAGATGGTGGCTTGGATGATCGTTGTGAGGTTGAGACTTGGAAGCTCTCGGATTAGCCTGGTGGTAGACAAAAGTTGTAGGAAGGTCAAGTCAGACCGAAAAAAAGAAAAAAAAAAGAAAAAAAAAAAAAGAGAATTCGGTCACCTTTCTCACATCAGGTTTGGTGGATGGCTCTTGGTAAAACCCAGGCATCGGAGTCGCTTTAAAATTCAGGCCCCGCCGAAGCTCTTTGATTTCTGCTTGCGTCTCTTCCTGCGGAGCAATGCTCAGGATTAGAACGCCACGCTGATACGATCAGCAAGTTTAAACACCTGTGTCTTTGCTTGGATCTTGCTCTTTTCAGCCGCCTTGGCACTTTGTTTCTCTTCCATTCTCCGGTTAAACTGTTCCAAAGCACTCTGATCAACACCACTCCAAGAAAAAAAAAGAAGCCAGCAACTAGCAAAAAACAAGCTTCACCTCTTTTCTCTTCTGGGCACGCTCGTTGCTCTTGAAGGCGAATCCGTTCGCGGTACCAGTAGCACTGCCATTCGGTCTGGTGCTTTTCTCCTTGTCCTTCGATGACGGCGGCCTGTGGATAGCGTTAAGTTCCACAGCTTGTTGCATGCACACAAACATGTCTGGGCAGGAAACGAGACAAGCTCAAAAGGATACACCGCACTTTCATTCTTTGTGCTGGCGACTCGGCTGGACCTGTCACAAGACATGTGCTTTTAAAGTGAGCAACCGATGTTCACAAGCAAAGCCACCTTACTTACGCGACAGACTTTTTCCCTGTCAATTGTTCCGTCGTTGTTTTGCTTGTCACCTGCATTCAAGAGACGACCACAGCAGCTAAGTGGTTTCAACGTCAGCAATTTAATCTCACCTGCGGTGCGCGAACTCCCGGAACAAGTCCCTGTTTTGAATTCCACTTGTTGATAACCTGCTGCTCCGTGGCACTAGCGCGTGCTGATTTTGTTTTTCTGCTCTGTGATGCTGCTGCTAAAACGCTTGCGGGAGCAGTGGCATCGCTCTTCACTCCAGTTCCTCCTTTAAGAATCGTCTTTTTGTTTGCCAGGCTTAAATCTGCTGCCTGCAAGGTCTACAGAAAAATAACAAAATCGTGAGAAGCATCTTTAAAACTCGGAAGTGGAAGAGATATGGACTCACCTTGGCAGAAAACACTGTGGAGTTTGTCGACTCTTCGTCCACTTCTTCCTTGGAATTCATTGTTGTTTGCTGCTCGGAATAAATAGCTGACTCCATCGGACACTGTACGTCCACCTGTGTTGCCAATGCTGACGCTAACGGCTCTTGTTCTTCATGGCCTTCCACTTGATCCATTCTCTCCTCTGGATCATTTGTGTACTCCACAGCTCCTTCCTTTTCTTCTTCTTCTTCCTTTTTTTCTTCTTTTTCTTCTTCTTGTTCTTCTCCTTCCTCTTGTTCTGCGTGTTCTTCGTGTTCTTCTAGTTGCGGGATTGGTTCTTGGTCACCAGAGACGGCCTTTTTCTCCAGTGACACTGTTCGTATATAGTGATCGAAGAATGCAGCCTTCCTGGCGACCGATCCGGGGCTTGCAGCCCTGCTCACATCTTCCTGGAACTCTTTGGGTATAGAATTCCATCGCTTTACCGCTAAGTTCTTGACAGTCTCGATGGAGCTCCTCCCAAAGAAGATCGACACGCCTTCCTTCTCGGGAGCAATCTAAGAAACAAATTCAGACAAGCGCTCCGAGCGAAGTGAGAAAGACATTATTTTTTTACCTGATCGCTGTGGCCGGCGCCGCTGATCTTCTTGCCGGGGCTGGAATCGCAGGAGAAGGCCCCCATTTCGTCCCTAGGCCGCTACCATATGGCAGAGGCTCATTGAGAAGGCGGAGATCACTCACCGCATTGCGCTGCTCGCCGCGATCCTTGCTTTCGAGGCATGATTCGCGAGCGCCAGCGCCGGATTCTTCCTCGTCCTAGCTTGCTGCTTCTGGTGGAGATCGAGGGGCGCAGGCGCTGGAATGGCGGCCAGGGCTGTGCAGAGAAAGATCCATCACAGAGGAATGGAACTAGCGGCCAAAGCCAAGGAAAGAAGAACCTCGTTTTAGCTAAGATGATCAATTAGTGTTGATACGTGACCTGCAACCTAATCACTGTGGGCCCTATAGCTTTGCATCGAAGGTTCGATCCTAGCAAACCCAAATTATTGTGGGTATAAAATCCTATTATTGTATAAAATCTTATCTAAATTAAATTAATATTTAAAAAATGATACGCTTTTCTTGAAACAAAATTTTGTTTACTTATTTATTTATACTAAATATTTTGACTTATTGAAATATTAAAAATTTGACTTGGTGTACAAAAAGTTTATACATTTTATAATTTATAAACATAAGATTAATCTAAATAAATATCAACTAAACTGTTCAAATATATTCTAGGTATATCCACTATTGGCTTAGGTTTGCTTAAGCAAACAAAAAATTCAAGGCTACTCATCAAATTAAATTTAATATTTTATTTATATTAAAATGGTTTAATTAACAAGGATAGGTATTTGATGACCATCTATCCTTAATATAAGGATGATGAGAAAACACTCTTTGAAAAGATTCATATAATACCAAGTTACAGTCATTTTGTAAAGATAAAAAGCAATTTACTTTATCACAAAAAATATTTGGAGACCAAATAACATTATAGTTATTAGAATATAAAACTATATTTCCATCTATTTGCATTTTAAATTCACAGTTTTTATATTTATTTGAACCTACATACCATTTTATTTTTTGTTTTATGTATAAAGCCAAAATACAATTTAGATGTAAATATAAAAGAGCTTTTTTATTTGGAGATAATAAAAATTGTGAACCTCTTAAGTAATAAGAAGGTAAAGTACTCATTAATGTTGTAATAGAAATTCTACAATCCTTTAACGTATTAGTTTTAATATTTAAATTCTCTAATCTTTTTGGTTGATGAAAGTTTTTAATAATATACTCAATTGCATAATAATCAGTTACTATTGTAATAAATGTTGCTCGTAAATTTTGTATTGTATAACGATATCTTTGTAATAAATTATTTAGTTGATTTCTCACATTAGTCCCATGATCATATTGAAGAGTATCATCATTTGCACTACATTGATCATAGTGTTTTCCAGATGTACTGTATACCCACATCTGATTAACAATATTTAATGGACCAACATTATCATCTTGTATTGTGAATGGAAATTCCATACTTTGTCCTTTAGGCAATTCTTCTGAGGATATATTATTAATCATTAATTCCATTGCATATAAAATTAAATCAACACTCTCTCGACTTATTTTACCATTTCCCCCATATTCAATTACAGAATTAACTTTAAAGCATAAACATAATATAAAGAAACTTATTAATTTCATATTTTATTAAAAGGATTACTAGTTAAATATTAACTTCTGTATATATCATGGTTTTAAAATATACATAGTCCAAATAAATAGTTAATATATTATTATACTTTAAGTAATGTTCAGACAAAAATAATGTCTGTTAGTCATGGTTATTTTTATGTATTTTTGGTGTTTTTAAAACAAACAATAGAATATCTTTAAAGATACTTGAATTCCAACACGGCTTCATTTCTAAAGAAAGATTCCTGGTTCCAGCCTCAAGGACATAATATTACCATTGACAAGAATATTTTAAGAATACTTTGGCACACTAAAGAATATTCTGTTAAAATTTTAGAAGTAATATTTTTATTAGATAGGTATTTTGAACCAAATTAATAATTTTTATAATATTTAGATCTGTGTAAAGTACCAGTATCTAATCTTAGTTGCAATAGTTGCTATTTAATAGGGGTTTTTCCTTATCAACTAGTTTACAGAAGAAATTATTATTTTAATATTTTATAATTAGTAGCATCCTCTTATTTAATGTATATCTATATTTAGTTTTTTAATATTACTCTAAAATCCCTATTATAAGTAATTCTTAATGTAATTTTTAAATAAAAATTAATTTATATTATATTAAATTCAAATAAAATACCAATATCCTATGCTTTTTTAATATTATGAACACCTCATGTTCAAATATTATAGGGTGATAAATCCAAAGTTTAACATTCATCCCATGAATTATATAATATATAAAATACATATGTTCGCAAAGGATAAAAGACTTACCAAATGTTTAACATTGAAAAAGATATATTGTAACTTGGGAATTGGATGATTGTAATGTTGCAAAACTTTTTGTTATAATATCAATTTGTAATGTTTTTGAGTATGTTGCTTTTACTTTCTTTGACCAAGTATTTGTAATCTTCATATGTGAGTATATTGCCTTTACTTTCTTTGACCAAGTATTTGTAATCTTCATATGTATATTGCTTCTTTTTTTCAGAAAAGTGCTAAAGTTGAGCTTGTGGTTCTGGATGTAAAGCACTCTTCAAATTCAAAGCTTGTTTCAACCAAAACTTGAAACTTCAAATTTATCAAGTTCACCTATTCTTCAACTAGCAAAATATGTGATACATGTTATGGTTTTTGGATAATTTGTGTTATAATAGACTATATGTGCAAAACTTTTGTTAGATAGAACCATATAAACTAATCACAATGTTGTGAAGGATCATTATATTGTCATCATCCCCAAAAACAAGGTGCTAGAGTGTATAAAGTTCCTATGATAATCTACTTACCACATAATTTTCCTATAATCTGAGTAAAACACTTGACTACAGATCTTGCTCCAAGTTAGCATATAACCACTCAATCTTATGAATCTTTTGTGTTTTGATTTGGAAGCACCTAAGCTCTTAGTTGCTCGGAAGCATTAGTCCTTCTCGTTCTTTAGTAACATACTTGTACTCGGAATGGTGCAAATTTGTTAGTTGCTTCGGCTCACTTGCTTGTTGCCTTCTTCTAATAGTTTCAAGGTTCCTAATTAGTTTTTTTGTAAATTGAATTTCAAGATCATTTAAAGCTAATCTTATTGCTTTTATGAGCTTGTGACTAGAAAATTGTGTTGATGTTATAATAGATAAGCATGCCACTAAATCCTCAAGATTTGGTCTATTTCCTATAATTTAGTTTTTTATATAAATGTGCATAAAGGTCTTTTGTAGAATAGAAATGACCAAATCATTCCAGCAAGCTTTAAATAGAGGTACATATTTAGAGCCACCTATTTTTACTAGCCACATCGCATGGTAATCTCAATAAGATTTGTTATTAGAAATTGGGTAGCAACTATTTTAGAACTCATCTACAATAAAAAAAAATTAATAAAAAAGATCAATGCTAATATTTGCTTACATGAGAAATAATTAAAGTCCCCTGATGTGAAAAACAAGTGAACCATCATGCTAACCATGTTTGTAGTCCTAGAATGGCTTTCTCATATGCATTACCTCCATCCCACTACAAAAGTATAAACTTGTATTGCTTTTTTACATTTTCTAAAGTGTTTGGAGCTTTTAATCACTAGCATAACTGATTGTGCTTATCATGGTATTTAACTCAAATGCATTTTTCGTATGTTCATGTAGTGTAAATGATTAAATTTTCTATTTTACTTTAATCACTTAACTACACCTTTAGCCACTTGGAGGAGTCTCACTCATAACTTCCATAAGTTTTATTCTTGACTTAGAGACATATTATCCCCAAGAATGGCATTTATGCCATTTAGCCTTTGCACTTGGTTGTAGCGCACTTGAATTTGGAGCCGAACTCCAAGCCCATTGCACTACGAAACGAGGGTTCGGTACAATCCCATGAGCACCAACTCCCCGTATCCAGCACCTGCACGCAAAATGGTGTTAGACGGAGTTTGGCACAATTTTGGCATATTGATGGCCTAACGTGAGGAGGAGGGTACCACACCGACTAGAGTAGCAATGTCTCAGGTGGTCAGACATGCATTCCAATCACTATCTCTACTATACATTTGGAACCCCCTATATCCCCCCCCCCTTGAGGAACATATGCTTTGGGCTTTCACCCCGAGTCTCCCTTAGCTAGGAGTTAGTCTCTGGGACAAGCTTAAATCTTACTAAATATGGGATGTCCTTAGATTATGAATTTAGATGTGGGACAAACACCATTGTGTTCAGGCCGATCTCTACATTCCATAGATATGCCAAATGAGTAAATCTAGACACTTCCCATAAATAGCATTTGGGACCAAAATGAGACTAACACAAAGGGCATGATAGCGAGGGTGTTTGGCAGACATGATAAGCTATCATCCAGCGATATTAAGGGACTAGTCTTAACACGCAAGAGTTCTTGTCACTAGCAAGTGCAAAACAAAACGAGACAGGAACTCCTTACCGGGCTAAGTATGCTTAGCTAATAGCACGTAGGAATTCCGTCCTTATACTCGTCTGGTCTAAGTACACTCAAAATGCTTAGTTAACTCCACTAGCACAAGAGGGGCTACCAAAGGGATCCAACTGTACTGACATTCTGTCGTCATGGCAGTAAAAAAAGAGTGTCTGTAAGAACTGGCCGACAAGTATCTTTCGATACCCGAAGTCACATTCGCAACACTCTCCCCCCCTTAGGGAAGATTGATGTCCTCGTCGATGCATACCCGAGTCTAGCAAATTGTCAAGGAAACAACTCCGAAAGTTAACGGAAAGCACACTATGTGGGAAACACATCGACTTAAATGAGTTATGGAACGACCTCTCCTCTACGTCTAAAGACGTTAAGACTCAGACACCCTCTGGCCGTCACTAACAAGGAAATGACTAATGAAGTTAGCCACCCTTGCTACTTCGAGGACCACTCGGCTTACAAAGGAATGATACATCCCTGCCCGCAGGGACATAGGGAGAAGGCTAGAGGCCTAACTTCCCCTGAGCAAGAAATCAACCCCGTCGGGAAGATTTAAACAACTATTATAAATTGGTAGATTAAGTTATTTACGCAACCACGCCCCTTTTCAAAAATGAGTTATTGAGAGAGAGGCAGGGATTTGTGATCAGTCTATAATAGTTATCCCTATGGTTATGGATTGGACCCATTGTAAGCCACAAATTTTTCCTTTCCAATTTGCCAGCTTACCTCGTCTACCCGTCCAAGACTGCCTTGGCTTTTGCTAAGTTCCCTTGCCA